TTCCATGGAATGCTCTTAACATCCCGATAGCAATGAATATCTTAAGTGCTTTGACAAAAAATTCATTCAAAAATATCATCTGTGGAAGCCGTAGTACTGTAAAAAGCACGACCAATCACCTGAGCCGGCCCGGCTAAAGTAACTGGATGGCCTACCTGCCTGTCAGCCTTCCATCTGTGCACAAACTTATCTCGTGCCCTCATTGGTCATGTGCGCGTTCGTGTGTGTTGGAGGAGGGGCTCTGTAAGGAAGTGGCAGATTTTCTCTGGCTGTGTATTTTCAAATTCTAGCACACTCGAGCTGGTTTCTCCAAAATGACCTACCCCACCTTTAAGTCTGCAGGAAAGGGCAGGTAGAGCTAGACATTAACATTTGGAGTGGGTGGAGACAAAAAATGGAGCAAAAAGAGTCGGTCACATCTCAATCTCAATCTTTATTTATTTATCAGGGTGGTCCTTAAAATTGAAAGTGGGAAAGTCTAATGGCGCGTTTCCACTACAGCGCGGAGCACGGTTTAAGAGGGCTGTGACGTCAGCGGCCCGTTTTTGGTTGCGTTTCCACTTGGCCTACCGGCCGGCGGGTCCTAATTCACAGTTTTTCTGGCCTCATAAAATCGTGGGTCTAGGGCCAGAGACAACGAGGCTGAGTCGGGCTGAGTATGCTAAACTAGAGAGAGCATCGCTGGCAAGGGGGCTACAACTACAACAAGATGGACATATTTGACCGTGATTTAATTGTAATACACGTTTCAAAATGATGCCGAAGTAACAACATACTGATACCGGTTAGTAAAAACCATGAATTAATGCTTTGTCAAGTCTGCAGACAGACGGCAGGCGAAAAACCTTTTAAAATGCGTGTTTTCTAAATGGAGATTGGCTAAGCTAACGCAGTATATGCTCCGACCGTCCACACTCACAACAACGGCCTATACAGACATAAATAAAGCAGCGACTGTATTCGTCATGACACAGGCAGTCTGTGGTTTGTACTTGTTTAACTTGTGTCTAGTTTCTGAACATATATGAGGAGCTCTGAGTGCTAACAGCTAACGGCTGTGTTGTTTTTCTGGGGTTCTCATTGAAGATGACGTCACGGCTCCGCCTACACTGCGTTACTATAGATACTACCCCAGTTCCTAAACTGTAATGGAAATGCGCCATAAAGTGAGCCAGTCCTAACGAGGCCGAGCGGGACCGTGTAGTGGAAACGCGCCATAAGCTCCGACCACCAGAATTCATTCTATTAGTCAAGAAATCTTTCCTGGTGAATGTTTTCCTCAATCTGACAACATGTACCCCCCCCCCCTCATCGACCTGGAAGTGTAGCCTCAGTTGCAGCACCGTGGCAGCCCAGGTCGATCAGGGGGGGGGGGGGTACATGTTGTCAGATTGAGGAAAACATTCACCAGGAGAGTCTTCTTGACTAATAGAATGAATTCTGGGGGTCGGAGCTTAGACTTTCCCACTTTCAATTTTAAGGACCACCCTACGTGAGGCTAATCTTTTCCAGGTTGATGAGGGGGGGGGGGTAAATGTTGTTGGAATTTGAATAAAATTCACCAGGAGAGTTTTCTTGACTATCATAACACATTCCGGTGGTTGGAGCTTAAAATAAATGAATTTGAAAATGTACATGGCACTAAGGACCACCCTGTTATTTATATAACACATTCAAAACAACCTCAGTTGGCCAAAGTGCTGTCCAGGGAACACATACAATATAGAATAACACAATAGGAGTAAATAATAAAACCACATTTAAAAAGCACAATAACGAAACGTATAAAAACACATTCAAATGTGAAAAGGTTATGTTCATAGTTTTAAAATGAGATATGCAAGTTAATAATCACTTTCTCCCTAGTTTATTCATCGCATTGGATCACCAGTGGGCCTTTCACAGTGAAGTGGTTGAGGGAGTGGGAGCTACGTGAAAAGCCAGATGGATGTGAATGTGATGAGTCCTTAATGTTCCAGTCCTCCTCTCTTCCTCGACCGAGGGAGTCCTCTTTATTTCCAGCTGCTGTGATGAGAAACACCAGCTAACTAGGCCACTGCATAATAAGCAAGAATAGCAGCAAAGAAAAAATGAATAAGGAAAAAGAAAAGGGGGGAAAGGAATCAGTTCTCGAGGGGGGGGGGGGATCTGTACCCAACATGTAACTGCTGACAAAAGTAATTTACTGAGCAAATAGTGTCCTTTTTGACTGCAGATGCATTGCTTACATTTACCTATAGCCTCTGCGGCGGACTGGCTATCGGGACGTTCGGGACACCCCCCCCCCCCCCGTCGACAATTTACTAGCGGTATTTACTTGTGGTACCGAGGTGGGCCCAGTCCGCCCCTGGCCTCTGCAGAGGTGCTTCAGAGTTCACCTCTCGCTCTGAGCTGTCATGTGACTGACGATGCACCATCCTGACTTTTCGTTGTGTGTGTGTGTGACTGCAGAGATGCATCCTGGTGCTGCAGAGATGCATCCCGGTGCTGCAGAGATGCATCCCGGTGCTGCAGAGATGCATCCTGGAGCTGCAGAGATGCATCCCGGTGCTGCAGAGATGCATCCTGGTGCTGCAGAGATGCATCCTGGTGCTGCAGAGATGCATCCCGGTGCTGCAGAGATGCATCCTGGAGCTGCAGAGATGCATCCCGGTGCTGCAGAGATGCATCCTGGAGCTGCAGAGATGCATCCCGGTGCTGCAGAGATGCATCCCGGAGCTGCAGAGATGCATCCCGGTGCTGCAGAGATGCATCCCGGTGCTGCAGAGATGCATCCCGGTGCTGCAGAGATGCATCCCGGTGCTGCAGAGATGCATCCTGGAGCTGCAGAGATGCATCCCGGTGCTGCAGAGATGCATCCTGGTGCTGCAGAGATGCATCCTGGTGCTGCAGAGATGCATCCCGGTGCTGCAGAGATGCATCCTGGAGCTGCAGAGATGCATCCCGGTGCTGCAGAGATGCATCCTGGAGCTGCAGAGATGCATCCCGGTGCTGCAGAGATGCATCCCGGAGCTGCAGAGATGCATCCCGGTGCTGCAGAGATGCATCCCGGTGCTGCAGAGATGCATCCCGGTGCTGCAGAGATGCATCCTGGAGCTGCAGAGATGCATCCTGGTGCTGCAGAGATGCTTCCTGGTGCCGCAGAGATGCATCCTGGTGCCGCAGAGATGCTTCCTGGTGCCGCAGAGATGCATCCTGGAGCCGCAGAGATGCATCCTGGTGCCGCAGAGATGCATCCTGGAGCCGCAGAGATGCATCCTGGAGCCGCAGAGATGCATCCTGGAGCCGCAGAGATGCATCCTGGAGCCGCAGAGATGCATCCTGGTGCCGCAGAGATGCATCCTGGAGCCGCAGAGATGCATCCTGGAGCCGCAGAGATGCATCCTGGTGCTGCAGAGATGCATCCTGGAGCTGCAGAGATGCATCCTGGTGCTGCAAGATTTCTGTGATCCTCAGCATGTTAGCCCTTGATTCACTTTGTCCACAGCTCCATGATTGTGCAGTGGATGTGGGAGTCTCTTTCGGTGCTGAACACGCTTTCTTGTGTTTTCTTCTGTTCACACTCTTCATCCTTATTTCTGCAAGTGGCGCTAATTGATTTCTTTGTAATAACAATGTGGAAACAATGTGACGATGTGAAAGCCGCCACTCGTGGGGAAGAGTCTACAGAGTATTATCACTCGCATCTGAAGCTCTCCTCGGCTTTAGGGATCTTTATGACGTAGCTTGTTTTCTGGCTGCTGTTTTCAGTGAGAAAGCTGCTCAAACCCACTGCGCCCTGCCTACTTAGCAGTGAACAGCAGACAGACACAGTTAATGAGAATTTAGAGGAGCATTTAGGAACCAAAGAGCAAGATAGTTACATTTCGGGTGGGTGGAGAGCAAAAATGGAGCATTAAGAGTCAGTCGAAGGTTTAAAAACTACACTTTCCTGCATTTCCTATTATCTGCAGGAAGGGCAGGTATACAGTATGTATGGGGAGGAGACCAAGAAAGGTTCATCACATCAGTTATTGCAAGTAAAAAACCCACTTGTTGGGAAAATTCTGAATGTACTCTCCTAATATGAAAGTACACATGCTAACAAAGGTATCCCAACTGTAGCTGTGTACATGACAGGATGTTTGATTACCTAGAAGAGCATCAGGACTGTTTGAGGCATATGATAGCTATGTGATTAACATGATGATTCAGCCTCTATGGAGATAGACATATGACAAGCATGATCATTTCTGACGTGGAGCTAATCTGAAGTAAACATTGAATACTGCTTTCTATTCCTCCATCTTGTGACTGTGTAACTCCCTCTCTTGTATATCAGCATGTGAAGGACACTGTTCAGGAACTAGTTGATGCTCTGTATGTGATGACTACTTCCATTCTGGAGAGGATCATAAATACATGGATCCTGAGATTGAAGCTCAAGCCGGGGAAGAGGGATTATTATTATTATTATTTTTAAGTATTTAGAAAAAGTCAGAATTTTGAGAAAAAGTCAGAATTTTGAGAAAAAGTCAGAATTTTGAGAAAAGTCAGAATTTGTAGATTTGGGGAAAAAAATCTGAATTTTGAGAAAAAGTCAGAATTTTGAGATTTTCCCAAGAAATACATAATTTTTAGAATTTGAGAAAAAAGTCAGAATTTTGAGAAAAAAGACAGTATTTTGAGATTTTGAGAAAAAAAGTCAGAATTTTGAGATTTTCCGAAAAAATTCAGAATCTTTAGAATTTGAGAAAAAAGTCAGTATTTTGTTCATGACAGGATGTATGATTACAGGTACCTACAAGAACCGATAGTCCTCCATCTTGTGACTGTGTAACTCCCTCTCTTGGATATCAGCATGTGAAGGACACTGTTCAGGAACTAGTTGATGCTCTGTATGTGATGACTACTTCCATTCTGGAGAGGATCACAAATACATGGATCCTGAGATTGAAGCTGACCGAGTGAAAACAGCTACTAACACTTGATTTTTATTGTGTCTCTTCTCTGTTTTTCAGTGTAGAGCATGACTTCCGTCTGCAGGAGGGCCAGGTGGTCCGCACGTGGAAGGTGGGCGACCCCCCTGAAGGCTCCCCACAGACCCCCACTCCCCAACCCTCCACTCCACAACAACTGGACTCCCCTCAGGCGGAAAGACCCCCCGCCACCACCAAGAAGAACCGGAAGAAATGTTTCTGGTTCCTCTGAGTGCGAGAGAACAGAGACATTTTGATACCGTAATGCACTGCGTACTAAAAAAAAAAAGCCCCACAGATGATGAACTACGAACAAAACGAGCGGACTGAATTAAAATGCAAACTGTGGGAGGAGAGATTTTACCGCTGGAGTCGATGAGAATGGTTTGACTGGGGCAAACATGTTGTTGCTGCTTTGAAAAAATGCCTCTTCAGCACTTCCAGGTCAGATTCTGGCGCAGGGAAGTAAAAGTGCTGAAGTCAAATAAAAGCAAAAGTTCAGTGCACAACATGACTCACAGTTATGAAGCAATTAGGAGATATATATGGGGGTGGGACGGGGCAGGGGGCACCGTACAAGAGGCAATACAGAGCAGAGGAGGGAGGATATTTATAAATGTATAAAGTTTATAGGCAGAGAGAGAAAAATACAGAAGGGATTCATCTTCATTATGGACTAATGAGGGTCAGAACACCAGCTTTTATATCCAGAGACATTTAAAAAGAATTATTATGACCTGTATTTAAATCTTTTAATATACTGTAATTGATGCAACATGTCTACACACACACACACACACAGCACACACACACACACACACACACACACACACACACACAAATGATATATATACATAAAACGGAATATATATAAATTGAGAAAATGAGTAAGATGAGTTCTGCTTGGATGATTTATTTCAGATATGGATTACTGCTCTATAAAAGTATTTTACCACATATGATTGTGTGTGTTTTTATTCAACAGGTTTTGAAAAATGATTTGTAGTTAATTGAAGTATTTTCATAATAATGCATGAAATGGTACCACTACTTTAATGTGATAGTACTCCATTACAAATCATGCACTTAAGTACAATTTGGTAGTACTTTTTCTGTATTAGAGTATTTACATTTTCTGCTGCTTCATACTTCTACTGCACTACAATTCAGGCAGGTATTGTACTTTTTAATCCACGGATCCAAGATACATTTCAAATGGTTAGAAGGGAAATTACACCTCACTTCATATACATGAGTAACAAATGCGTCACTTCCGGGCAAAAAGTACGACTCTGCCCACTTTTGGGAAAACAAAGCTGTCATTTGAATGGCGGTCGATACAAATTCTGAAGTTTTTGCCAATCCGATCAGAAATGTAAGAAAACCGTGGATTTTCTGATCTTCAAAGAGCCCGATCACGATGGCCAGTCAGGCAAACAATTACATTAAGCCATTGGAAATCGACGATCGGGCTCGATATACGGTTAAATATATCAGTAGGCTATCAATTTTCATAGATGAGAGTAACATCTACGTCACTTTACGGCCCCGCCCACTTTTGGGGGAAACCAACGCTGTCATTTGAATGGCGATCGAGCCTGAAGCCACAGAGCTCTTCTTTTACTGTCCTTTGTTCTTAGAGGAAATTCAGAAACACTGAACTCTGGATTTGTTTTAATGTTTGAGCAGCAATAAATGACACAGCAGCTTGTTGGCATGATACAACTATTATTTTCCGCCTCGCTCATGAGAGTAAATTACGGCCTCGACTACTGATTTTAATTTAACCATATATCGAGCCCGATTGTCGATTTCGAATGATTGAATGTAATTGTTTGCCTGACTGGCCATCGTAACCGGGCTCTTTGAAGATCCACAAATCCACGGTTTTCAAAAAATTCTGATTGGATTGGCAACAACTTCAGAATGTGTATTGACCGCCATTCAAATGACAGCGTTGTTTTCCCCCAAAAGTGGGCGGGGCCGTAATTTTCGCCCGGAAGTGACGTAGGTGTTACTCTCATCTATTAACTCTAAAATTAATCTCATTAACGTTATCTTTAAGCCTCCAATCGTTACCATATGACACTCAATGTCCTCTGAAATGTGACGAGTGGTAGAGAAAGCTTTCAGTCGAAGAGGTCGCACGGTACGAGTTTAATTTCTAACAACACATTGTGTTTTATAAGCTCGCCATACGATTTTAAACGTAAAATGTTAATGTGAAAAGCCACCAGTAGACTCAGCTGTCACATAAAAGAAGTGAACAATAATGGACTCTGAAAGGTAGTGGAGTACAAATACACTTTGCACCACTGGCTATTATTATAAACCAAATGTATGAGTCACATTTAGGACACAAGCACTTATAGATCTCTATCAAAAAAGACAACATGTGTTAAGGCGACATTTCCCAGACACCAGACTGCTCTCAGAGCTCAGATGGCTGTCCTGGACACTTGAGGGCAAATCTCAGGATGTTAAGCCTCAGCTGTGTGATGGCTGCGAGAAGCCCCAAATATGACCACTTAGTAATTCATGACACACATACGCTGCTTCTACCAGGCTCCGAGGTGGCATGAGACGCTGGCCTAATTTATCCCAAACTTTCGGAAAGTGTTAGCGCTCAGTTTGTTTGTTTGCTTGCTTTTGGATTTGTATACGACCGCTGCCAGTTTCCACTATACGCCTCGAACAAAGCAGTCAGACACACACTCTGTTTCTGTTGGAGAGAATATGCATCAGGCAGGAGTCCACAATCTCTTATGGGCTACACAAACCACTTAGCAGCAACAAGCATTCAGGCACAGTTTGAGAAGCATAATGGAGCATTTAGCAGCTAAAGAGCCAGATATTAAAATGTGGAGTGGATGGAGACCAACAATGAGTCAAGTACATGAGTTACTGCAAGTTTTAAAAACACACTAACACTTTCCTGCATTGGTTTTTCTCTCTTTCTAGAGTAGAAAATGACTTTAGTCTGCAGGAAAGAGCAGGTGGAGCGAGATATTTATATTTGGAGTGGGTGGAGACCAAACATTTAGCAAAAAGAGTGACTCACAAATAACGGTTTTGGCAAGAGATAAAAACACACTAACCAGTTTTCTTGTTGTCTTTTTTGTCTATCTAGTGAAGAACATGACTTTAGTCCACAGGGTGGGCAGGTGGTCTGCACATGCTCAAACAAAGCAGTCACACACACACTCTGTTTCTGTTGGAGAGACTATGCATCAGGCAGGAGTCCACGATCTCTTATGTGCTCGTCTTGTGACTGCCATTTCTTCCTTCTGGGCTCTCAAAACACGAGTGCACACACATGAGGGGCGTTCACACCAAGTACTTTTCCCACAATAGTTCATGAGAACTTTAGTTCATGAGAGCTCTATAGTTCTGATGAACTAAAGCAGATCGCGTTCACACCAAAATGAGTTCCTGGGGGTGGATTAGGCAAATGAACCGCTGACGTCATTTCTTCTTCTTCTGCTTTGGGTTTACTGGCAGGCCGCAAACAACTTCACGGCGAGTACAGTAGGTGGCGGTATGCACCTTAATGTTGCAATTCGCCAAAAAACCGAGAGAAGAAGAAGAAAAAAAACTTCCGCTTCCGCTGTATGCTTCTGTTTACCTTCCGACCTCAGGCACGGTATGGAGTTGACGTTTTGGTGGTCGTGTTATACAGCTTCGTAACTGAGTTATTTAAGCCAATAACCACAAATACAAATACAGATCGACCATTCAAATGCAATAGAAATGCTGAGTCGGAGGCGAAGGCGGTTAAGAAGCCTTAACAAAAGGATTGGACGACGAAAGCACACGCTATGGACATGTTTCGCAGTAGGACAGCTGAGCATGATGACCGTTATCACGCCCAAAGAACAGCAATGGTACGTTCATTAAATTACATTAATACTATCTAATGTTGGATTTATGGAGTTATGTAGGGCTAATTTGTGTCTTTGTATGTGTTCCAGATATGCGAATACTACGGAACGCGTCGTGTCCCGCGCTCTCTCTGGGTGAACAATAGAACGTCGGCCTGGTGGGAAAAGGTGGTGCCAACGTACACCAATGTGCAGTGGATCAAAGATTTCCGAATGTCCAAGGGCTCTTTTCAACTCCTCTGTATTCGCCTGGAAGCAACGTTGTGGAGAGGCATCTGAACAGCATGGAAATTGTAAATTGACAATAAAGCTGATCTTTTGTAGTGCATTTGGTTCTCTTTTATTTACCAGTCAACAGACACAATTACAATAGTGCAGACACATCTTAGTGCAAAGATTAAATGTCAGTATCAAAACAGTACTCATACTGTATATTTGTATATTAATGAGTATATTATTATGTTAAATGTGTGTTAAAGACAATGGGATGAGGTTGAAAGCTCTTTAAAAAGCTTTTGTATATCATCTTTACTGTGATAAATACATACATGTTAAGCATACACACCTGAAGAACTACGTTACACACACACAGGTTGGTCTGTGTACCGCTGCACTGCTGCTGGTTTAAACAAAGACAGTCATGATGCTAGTGCTGTGCATGTAGGTTCTCTTTTATTTATCAGCAGCAGATCAATAAGTGTCAGTAGTATCAAAACAATATAATAACAGTGGCATAGATATCTATATATATATATATATATATATAGATATATATATATATAGATATATATATATATATATAATAACAATAGGTAGGCTCAGCAGCAGACACACCTTAGTGCAAAGTTAGGTGTCAGTATTAATAACAGTGGCATATATATATATATAATCACAATAATACAAAATTAACTGTCCCAGGTGTAGGCAATTTGGGGTGAAGTGTCTTGCCCAGGGACACAACGACATCCTGACTGCAGTGGGGTTTGAACCTGTGCTCCTCTGATCCGAACACCAACGCACCAGACCACTGCACCACACGCCTCCCAACAAGTCATTGTACAGTTTATCAACGACAAGTTTTTCTTAATTTTTGTATTGAAGGCCTGTTGGATTTAATCAGCTCGCTTAGCACTGCCAGAAGCCCAGCCTGAAAGGTATTTTGTTGCTCCACCTCGATTCCTGGGCCTTGTGTGAATGCAGCAGCCGTTCGTCGTGCATCTCCTTGGCACGCAGGTCCTCATTCTCCTTGCTGACCATGGCACGGCGGTCCATTGCCATAATGGTGTCAAGGAAGCTGTCATCGCGTGCCCACTTTCCTAAGGTGAAATATGCAAGATACAAGATCAGTTTAATCGCAACAACGAGGCAAAATGTTGATTAATAGTCCAGTTTACTGTGAGATAGAAGATCAAACCGTTTTCATGTAATCCTTTTATTTATACATCACATATACTGAGGTAGCTGGGCCAATCAAGCTTGGACTGAAATATCGAAATTACATCTCTCTTTGATATTGACTACAATTATTGCTACAATGCATCAATTCATTATCAAGCAAATGACTTGTGCATGAACTCTAAGCGGCGGTGATGCAATACATATTTCGATTTACTTTTACTTATTAATAGTTATATCACCTTCTTCTTCTTTCAAGGCCAGAGTAGTTAGTCAGTAGTAGTTAGTAGTAGTAAGTGGATTGACATCTAACATAACATGGCTGAGTACAATTATAACAATCAATAAAAAAAATAAAAAATAAATAGAATTTCAATTACATTTCTACTTAAATGTGCAAAAATATTAGAACATCAGTCTTTGTGGCATGCAGGTAATCAACTGTTTAAGCTTTTACCATTAACATGTAGAATGAATGTTGCAAATTACTTGAAATTATAGCAACTACAATGTATTGTTAGAGGTAAGAATACAGAGGTAGCATTATGTCCAGCTAGCATGCTAATTGCTAACGTTATATTATCGTTTTATCCCGGAGGGGAAAACTAGTTTCTAATCCTGAGAGAAACACCTCGCCTGAAACACACGATTAGTGCCATGAGT